ATCGCATCGAGCCGCGCGCCTCCTTGGCGGTGCGCGATGCGGCGGTGAGGAACTCGATCACGCGCTTGGCGGCCTCGGTCTTGCCCGCGCCCGACTCGCCCGAGATGAGGACCGACTGCGAGGCGAATGCGCCGCTCGCCTGCGGAAGCAGCAGAGAAGGCTCACGGAGAAGGCTGCCTGAGGGACCGCGGCGACGCGGGGCCGCCGCTCGCCGCCGCCGCCGCCCGCTCCGCCTCCGCCATGCCGACCTTCTCGCGCAGCTGCGAGTAGGCGCGCCGGGCAATGGCGTACACGTGGGGCGGCACGGCCGCCTCGCGCTTCTTGGCGGAGTTGTCCTCCTGCCAGCGCGAGAGGTTGTACAGCTCGGGCAGCGGGCCTGTGGTGGGGGAGACGAGAGGCCGTTGGTGCGCGAGACGAGAGGCGTGGCGGCATCGCGCATGCTCCGGCGCGGGACGCCTCCCCCCGGGGGGGGGGGGGGGGGGGCATGCCCTCCAGAGTGCGGCGTGCTGAAGCGGGATGCGAGGCCGCCAAGTGTAGGAGGACAGGGTACTCGGAAGCGGGGAGGTTTCGTTTCGGAGACGCCGGCCAGGAGGCGTCTTGGGAAGGCGTCTGGAAGGTGTCTGGGAGGTGTGTGGGAGGTGTCTAGAAGGTGTCTAGGAAGGAGGCGCGTCACCGTACGGGTTGAGCGAGAGCAGGACGTCGCCCGCCCACGTGTAGATGGAGCCGTTCTTGAGGCGGCGCTGCAGCAGGTAGAGGAGCGGCGCCTCGTGCAGGTTGTGCATCGCCACCATGTTTGGCAGGTCCTGCGCGTGCGACGGCTCGAAGCGAGTGACGTCCTTCTGCTCGACGAGGTGCTCCTCCCCCTCCACCTCCACCACCAGCTTGGCCGCCGCCATCCCCTTCTTCTGCGACCCCTTGAGCGTGCCGAGCTCCCACCGGCCGGAGACGGAGCACCACAGCGTCGTGCCTGCGCCGCCCAGCTCCATGCCAAACTCCTCGTCGCCCATCTCGGGCACGAGGCGCTCGACGAGCTCGGGCGGGTCGTCCTTCATCTCGAGCGGCAGCTTGGGGCGGTAGTCCTTCCCCTCGAGCAGCAGCCGGTTGATCTCGTTGTTCCGGTTGATCATCTCGGTGAGCTTCAGGTTGAAGGCGGGCAGGTTAACGTCCCACCTGCCGCGGCGCGCACGAGGGAGGCTGGAGAGGGGAGGGGCTGGAGAGGGGAGAGGCTGGGAGGGGAGGGGCTGGAGAGGGGCCGCGGACGGGGCGGGCGGCGGGGCGGGCGGAGGTCCCAGCTGCGGGCGGCAGGTTTACTGGTGGGAGCCGCTCGCCGAGGGGGGAGGAGAGGGGGGAGGGGCACCGCGGGGGGGAGAGAGGCGGGAGAAGGGCGGAGGCCCGGGGAGGGTAGGAGGAGGGAGGGGGAGGGGGAGGGAGGGAGGGGATAGAGGGGTGGGAGGGGCGAGGCGGGTGCAGCCCGCACGTCAGCGTGAGGAGGGTGACGTTCGTGTAGAACATCTGCACGTAGGCGTGCGCCACAGACGAGTCGACCCGGTGCGACGCCAGCGAGACGGACTTGAGGCCGACGTTGGTGGAGAGGGCCTGGCGTCGCGAGGGCGCGGGCCGCGGGCGTCGGCGACGGAGGGCCGGCAGAGAGGCGGCGCCGACACAGAGGCGGAGAGGCGATGACGGTGGAGGCGGTGGTGAAGGCAGCGGTTGCGGCGCTGTGCGGCAGTGGCGGCGGAGGGGGAGAGAGGGGAAGTAGGGGAGAGTGCGGCCTTTGCGATGTCCATGAGGCCTTGCCGCCCGAGCTTGTTGTACGACAGGTTCAGCTCGAACCTGCAGCGGGGCGTCGGAGGAGGACAGGGCCGGCTGAGAGCCCGAGCAGTGGCGGCAGCAGCGGCAGCACCGGCGGCAGCAGCAGCGCCAGTACTAGTGGCGGCGGATAGAGAGCCGGCTGACGCCGAGCGTTGCTGTTGGACGTCTCCGTGGGTGGAGGCGTGAGGCAGCTAACTGCGATGCGGCGGCGAATCGCGAGTGCCGGCTGCGTGGCGGCGTCTCCCCATCTAGCAGCGGACAGTGTGGCGTTGTCTGCGAGCGCCGCCGACAGCTGCTTCGCAGAGACGTCGCCGATGGAGCAGTTGGAGAGGTCGAGCGCTGTGAGCCGTGTGTTGCGGCTCAGCGCATCGGCGAGCGACGCGCTCAGCTTGACAGACTTCTCACGGAAGACGGATGAGCCGGACAAGTCTATCGATTGCGTCCGCCGGTCGTTCTCCTCGACCTTTTTGATCACCTCGAGCACCGTCTTCTCCTTGGCATGCTGAAGGCTCATGCCTCAGCCAGTCTGCCGACGCCTCTGCCCGCGATCGCTCCGGCGAGGTGCGCAAAGGCCGCAAGGGTGCTTGAGCGCGCGACGGCGAGGGCGGCTCGGGGCTCAAATGGGCGCTGAGATTTTCTTTTTCTGCCTGTTCCGTGCCGAGAGGAGTTTTCTTTTAACATTCTTTTTCTTGTAGGTTAGGAGAATTTCGCAAACACGCAGGAACCAGGAGTTTCCGCTATATAGAGAGACCAACAACGTTACTTGGGAGGCGGTGGCGGTCCTATCCGGCTCCGCGCGCGAACCACACAGACGGGCAACCATTGGGCAGCAGGAGGCCGGGCAGTGGAGTGAACCTGCTAGCCGTCCTTGCGCTCGAGCGGCGAGGCCCACCACGACGGCGTGAGGAATAGCTGATGCGCACCGAGCCGCGCGCCTGCGGCCGAGGCGGCAGGCGGGGGCCGGGGTGAGGGCCGCACTGGTGTCGTGCTGTGCACGGGGTGGCGCGCGCGGCGAGTTAACGTCCTCCGACAAGTGTAAAGCATCCCCACGAAGCGTGTGCGACCACGCGTTAGTTGCCAGTAGTCATAGAGGTTACGGCGTCGTCATTGGCGGGATCCCGCCGAGCGCGAGGATGGGGCGAATCCGCGTGGATTTGTATGTGCGGCGCTGCCAGGCGCGCCTTGTCATGGTGGCACACCGGTCGACTTGTTGTGCTTCCGCAGCCGCCGCCTCCGCCTCCTGCGCCGCTCTCACCTCCGCCTCTGCCGCAGCCGCCTCCGCCGTCGCCGCATGCTCCTTGAGGGCGCGCACACACGCGGCGTGGCCCATCTCCCTGGCCAGCTGCAGCGCGGTCATGTCGTCCGCGCGCCGTCGTATCTGCTCCCACCCGTAGCAGGCGGAGCACGATAGCGGGGTGGCTGGAGATGGCGGCGTACATCAGCGCTGTTGCGCCATCGTTGTCCGGCTTGTTGATCTCCTCACGCTGAAGCAGCGACGCGACCACTCCCAGCCTTTGGTGGCGGTGCCCATCAGTGTCAGGCGACTTCTCTTCTGCAGGTTGGCATCTGGGCCATGGCTGCACCAGCAAGTCGTGTCAGGGCGACGCGCAACCTGATGTGAGAAACAAGCCACGTTAGCTGCACGCCAAGTGCTCCAAGGTTGGTGTGTCCATTTGGGGGGGCATAACAATCGATAACAAACGCACTCGGAACGCCAGCAAGGATGCGTTTGCTGCTGATGAGGACGCACCCGAGAGAGAGAGCTCTATATAGGGAGAGGGAGCTGGGAGGGGGGGAGGGGGGAGAGGGTTAGCGGTTAGAGTCAGTGTACAGTGAGAGGGGTTCTCGAGGTTCTCGAGGTTCTGGAGTTTCATATCCTGATAAACTTTGGCCGCTTTGGGTATCCGGATAGGAGGGACAGAGTCAGAGAGAGAGGAAGGTGGAGAGTCTTAGCGACCGAGAGCGTGCGGCGCACACGACGACCCGCACATGCATGTCTCGTCGGCGGGAACGGGGAGTTGTATTACGCTCCGATCGATCAAGCAAAACCGGCAGATCACACAGATCTCACGCGCCAAACAGACGGTGCGGTCGTAGGTGCGCCAAGGCGCGCATACACGGGGTGCTCAGAAGCAAAAATCTGGCAGATACGGGCAAATCTTCGCGTATGTTTCGTCCGCCTGCATGTCGCAGGGTGCCATCGGCGGAATCGCTTCCCACATCTCGGTGAACTTTTTCCAGCCCTCATCCGCCTGCATTTTCGAAGGCGAGAGGCCAATCTTGGATGGGTCGAGCTTCTCGCCAGCCTCACCTTGCAGGCCGAGCGCGCGGGCGCCCGACAGGGCCACCATGAGCACGACCGCCGCCGCCACGGCCACGAACAAGAGCTTTGACCACTTGCGGGGGGCGGGCACGTGGGTGATCATAGCTGCGGCACAGGGTCGCGGTGGTGTGGCTGCGTCGCTGGCGCAAACAACTGGAAGTTTGCCACTACTTTTACTCGTATAGGTTGTTTCGATGCACGACTTTACGGCCGACGATCCTATGAACAAGACGAATGCGTTTTCGCAAATTTCTTATCACTGTGTGTGACTGGTCGCCCCCGACCGACACAGGTGGCGAGTGTACACGGCTGGTCTTCCGACTGGCCGTGTGAACTCACTTCTGTCTTCTCTATCTCGCCGGGGGAGATTTCGATAATCACACCGATGAGCGATGTATATGCGCAAACACGCACAACCACAAGCGCAATCCAATCCTGCACGGATCTATTGCGGTACGGAATCTCTTCGGAATCTCTACGCTCTGGGGGGGCGCGGGGGCCCTAGAGGGTATCCATGCGGGGGGGGGGGAGATGGGGTCCGATGGCCGAAAGAAAGAAAGAAAACAGACAACCCAAGGGAGGGATGGGAGGACGGCACGCCGCCACCACACAGGGATTTTAAGGTCCGATGGCCTGCCGCGATTTTTTGGAAGATTGTTTTCTTTCGGCGCGATTTTTCACTTGTTTTCAGGGAATTCGGCCATGCTATCACGCCTTGCGACAGCCTGTCGGCGCTGCTGACCGTGCCATGCTGCTCAACTGACCGCCTGCATAGCTCGCGGCCTTAGTCTTCAGCATTCAGTGACGACCTGATCGTACGGCCAGTAGGAAGGTGTCCTTCCAGCGCGTGCACGCTTCTGACGCAATGCGCGTCACAAACTGCCTCGGATTGGCTGCTGGCACTCTCGAGGCTATGCCTACACAGCCTCGCGCGCATGGGCAGTCAAGAGGGACCACGCACCTTCTCAGGACAGCACCAGTGCCTCTCTCTTGGACCGGCAAACTTGGTGGTCTCGTGTCACCAATGTGGGACCAGTGCGGCATCGGACGCGCCATCGACAGCTCTGAACTGCGCCTCACCACTGACCGGGAAGGCCGCCAAGTGGGCCAGCACAGGTCGCACATTGTGGCAGCAGTCAGCAGTGCATGTCTGATAGCTAGCAGCAGCGTCAGGGTCTCGCAGGGTCGGATCGTGTCAAGCCTCTCGCCCGGCCGGCCGCGTGCAGACGTCGCCCTCGTCGGCCTGTCTGCTGTCTGGAGTGATCTGTCGGCGGTCAGTACGACCGACCAGGTTGGAGGTTTCTGATGGTTGGAGGGTCTATCTGTGTGTACTCCTCGAGATCTCTCCAAATCTGCCCTCTGATCAACCGTGATCATTCGGGAAGTTGGTGCTCTGAGCGACTCTGAGCGCCGGAGCCCCGTTTCAATGGCGTTTCCGCACTGCTGCGCGGCGCACGGTGCCTCCGGGGGCCCCCGCGCCCCCCCAGAGTCTCTACGTCTCCTGTATTTCTCCTCAAAAGCACACGTTGTCTCTCGATTGATGCAGGACAAGAGTTACCGCATACCTGAGATACGGGTCCTATTCACACTTCTATTCACCTCTCCCACGAACGTCTTCGCGGTACGTCTCTGGCTAGATCTCGCACGGCCAAGCCCGGTCGCTCACGCTACCTCCGGGCCTGCACCTCCTCCGGCGACGCCCCGACGGCGGCCTCGAAGGCCTGGCTGTCGACGGCGCCCTCACAGATCACCGCAGCGACCACGGAGTCCGGGCCGAGCCCAAGGCTTTGCTGCAGCCCCGGCTGCGCGGCGGCGGCGAGGAGGGCGCCGATCCCGGCAACCGCCGAGTGCCCCGCCACCACGGCCGGCGAGTCGTCGGCGAGGAGCCTCATCGCGGGCTCGACGACAGCATCCGGCACCGCGACAAAGTCGTCGACGCCGGTCGCGAGGACTCTCCACGCCACTTCCGCCACCTCGGTGCAGTCCAGCCCGGTCTGTACCGTGCCAGCGTCGCTGTGAGGGGAGGCGGTCAGTGCACCCGCCTCCGCGGAGCACTGCAGGCAGTTGGCTTCGGTCGGCTCCACCGCGATGAAGCGAGGCCGCTCGGAGCCGAGTCGCTCCCACAGGTGCGCGCACATGCCCGCCGCGAAGCCGCCGACACCGGCGTTGATCAAGACGTGCGTCGGCATCGACGGCGAAGGCTCGGACCGCAGCTGCTCGAGCATCTCTTCGGCGACCACCGTGTAGCCTTGGTATATGCGCGCTGGCACCGCCTCGTAACCTGGCCAAGACGTGTCCTGAACAACCTCCCAGCCGTGCTCCGCCGCGTCGGCAGCGCAGGCGCGGACGGAGGCGGCGTAGTCGCCCTCCACGCGCACCGTCTCGGCGCCGTACCGTCGAATCGTCGCCTCCGCCCCGGCGCTGACTCCGCCGTGGAGGTACACCAGCGAGCGGCACCCGGCCTGCTGCGCGCCCCACGCAACTCCGATCCCGTGGTTGCCTGCAGACGCCGTCGCAATGACTGGCTTCGCCTCACCCTTCGCCGCCGCGGCCAGGGCGAGGTCCTATGGGCACGGCGACGATCGAGATCAGGAGGAGACTGGGTTGAGAGTCTCTCCACTACAGCCTGCGCAGTCCTCGACGACGAGGCCTCCACCGAGCGGCTTGAAGCTGCCGAGGCCGAAACGCTGGCCCTCGTCCTTGACGTACACGCGGCCGACTCCCACGCGGGCCGCCATTGCTGGAAGAGACAGCAGCGGGGTCGGGGCGTAGGCTGGCCATGCCTTGACGCGGCGGAACACCTCTGCGTGTCGCTCGAGTGAGATGGTGCTGGGTTGATACGTGGCAGCGGGCCCGGCCCGTGCCGAGTTGCGGAGATGCGTCACGGGCCATGATGAGGCACCGATAGGTGCGCGGCCGAGCTGCATTGGGGACCCGGCCGAGGAAGGCGGACGCGTCGACAGCGAGTGACTGTGGACAGAGGACACAGACACTGGCCCAACCCAACCAACCTTCAACCTATTGCTTTGTGTATCTCGAGACCTCGAGAGAAGGCCGCCCGCAGGGCCCAAGTCAACTGGCTTTCTTTTGGCGGGCAACTCCGCCGCCAGTCCACAAAAGTGATCGGCGACCACGGGTGGCAGCTCGGCGAGCAGGGTCAGTGGTGCAAGCGCATGAACCTTGAACTTTCTACTCGCGTACCCATGATGATCCGCTCACCTTCTCACCCAGGCAGTCATGGGAAGAAGACGTCGACTCTACTGCGCCGGCTGTGGGCGCCGCCGGCTGCAGCTCGGGTTGCGCGCTCTGCTTCTACAAGGAGCATCGCTTGACTGGCCAGTACCGTTGCCTGATGGGTGACCTGAGACACCGCTGCGTCGCCCCGCCGCCTGGAAATCTCTCTCCGCAGCCGCCACCGCCACCGCCGTCGCCATCTCCACCAGTCCCTACGTCTTCGCCGCCGCCGCCATCGCCGTCGCCGCCGCCGCCATCGCCGTCGCCGCCGCCGCCATCGCCGTCGCCGCCGCCGCCATCGCCGCCGCCGCCGCTGCCATCGCCGCCGCCGCCGTCGCCGCCGTCGCCGCAGCCGCCTGCTGTGTCCCCTTCTGCGCTCGAGGCTACTGCTGTGGAGACGCTGTCGATCGCTGAGGCCGCTGAGGCCTTCCTTGCCGCGCATTTCACTGGCGCCGTCCCGGGGGCGGTGGACGCGGGCAGCCTGAAAGCTCGCCGTCGCGCCTCCCATATGGCTGCCATTGTTGGTGCCGTAATGGGCGGCGCTGCGGCGCTCTTGCTCGTGGTACTCGCGCGGCGGCGATTTGGACGGTTGGCCCTCTGCAGTCGACGCCGGGCGGGGTGCTTCGGGTCTGCGGACTGCGGCCCGTGCGGTGGGCAGGGGGGGTAGTACATTTACTACGACTTCTATCGCCGACCGCGCACTCTTCGTACTCCCTTTTGTCTGTAGTAAGTAGTGCTAGCACAGGACCAATTCAACGCGCGTGCCGATGGCGCGGCGCAGCCACGCTGGCCGCCTGCCGGAAGCGGTCCAGGTCGTCTGCAGCCGGCACAAAGAGGCTCGCGCCGGCGAAGGCGAAGCGCACCTGCTCGCACACCGAGCCGCATCAGGCGCTGCAGATTTCGGGTGCTCGACTTGCCCGCGCAGAGTGAGGGGGGCGCACCAGCCGGCCTCGAACCGGCGCCGCCCAAGCTGGGTGGTTTTCAAACCGGTCGTTTGTCACAACCCACGCGCCCGACGACGCCGCCAGCTGGATGGTGAAGAGGTCGTCGTCCGTCCCCGTCGGCGTCCACGCGACGCCCTCGCGTGCGTCGAGCGACTTGCCCCATGCGTCCGCGACGACGGTCTGCCAGTGCGTCTCTGAGAGCGTCACCACCACGCGCGCCTCAACGACAGGCACAGGGCGGGGTGTGAGAGCAGCGCCAGCCGGCCTCGCGGCGGAGAGCGCCGCGCCACTCCTCGCCTCCGGGACGCCCTCACGTGCGAAGAATTCGACGCACGCGCGCAGCGCCGACGGGCGGAAGGAGCCGTCCTGGCGGAACCTGGCGGACGGGTCGAGCGGACGGGATGGGAGTGTGCACTGGTGCTAGAGTGTGCACTGGTGCTAGAGTGTGCACTGGTGCTAGAGTGTGCACTGGTGCTAGAGTGTGCACTGGTGCTAGAGTGTGCACTGGTGCTAGAGTGTGCACTGGTGCTAGAGTGTGCACTGGTGCTAGAGTGTGCACTGGTGCTAGAGTGTTGCATCCACAGGCGAGGCTGTCTCTGCAGCGCACCTCGCCACGTTTGCGCCGTCGACCACGAGCAGCACGCGCGGCGCTGCGCCGCCGCTGCGGCCGGCGGCCGAGCCTGCGAGCGACGCCTGCATCGCCGGCAGCGAGGTCAGCGCCAGGCGAGGCCCGCTCCCCGCCCCCCTCCTCGCCGCTCCGCCGCCGCCGCCGCCCCCCTCGCCCGGCGGAGCGTGCCGCCCGACGACGGTGCCGTCTACGCTGCGGGAGGAGAGGGAGGCGGCGGGAGAGGAGGCGACCGAAGACGCGGCGGAGGAGGCGGGAGGTGCCGCTGCGTGCCGCGCCGGCGGCCGCGCTGCCCCCGCCGACGCAGACCTCTGCGCTGCGCTGCGCTCACTAACCGCCTGGGCAAAACTGCGATCGCAGGGCGGCGGCGGCGGCGGCGGCGGCGGCATCAGTGGCGGCGGTGGCGGCTGTGGTGGCGGCTGCGGCCGCAGCGGCGTCGGCGGCGCGTCGCCCCCAAGCTGCAGGTGCGTCCCCCTCGCCGCCGCGCCGGAGCACGAGACAATCTGCCTCGCTCGCCGGGCCCTCTGCGGCGCCGCCCGCTCCGCCACTGTTGCGGCGCCATGCTTGGAGTACCAGACCCCTCCGCCGTGCTGCTGGTCCAGCTCGACCGCCCCAAGCTCGCGGGCCAGCGCCGCGTCGCTCTACCCGGCAACGGGCCGGCAACAGGCAGTAGTTAGGTGAGGCTGGTCCGAATGCGGGCGCGGGGCGGGTGTCTCGAGCGGGTCGCGTCTGGGGGCGGGCACTCACCTCTCCATCGTCACCGCCGCGGCGGAGGGCCGCCGCCCGCTCCTCTTCCTCGTGCAGCTGCCACGCCAGGGCGACGTCCGCATCGCAATCGATTGCCACACCAACGCCAACGCCACCCACCCGCGCAGCGACCAGCTGCAGCCTCCGCTCCTCTCCCTCAAACCGCCTTGCCAGCGCCTCGTCACCAGCCCGTATCCGCTCCGCCAGCGAAGTCTCCGCCTCCTCCGTTTGAAGCCGCTCCGCTAGCGCCGCGTCGTCGCTGCCGCCGCCGGCTCTAGCCTCCTCCTCCTCCCGCTGAAGCTGCCGGGCATACGCTTCGTCCTCTTCCCCCGCGGGAGCCGGCGGGTGGCGGCTCTGCTCTTCCTCCTGGAGGCGAAGAGCAAGCGCCAGGTCGTCGTCCATCCCGGAGCGAGCACAGAGACGAGCCTGCGGCCAACATCGGCAGGCCGTGAAGAATTTAAGAGCGAAGATAGCCGGCTTCTCTCACAGCACCGTTAAAATCCCTGTGTGGTGGCGGCGTGCCGTCCTCCCATCCCTCCCTTGGGTTGTCTGTTTTCTTTCTTTCTTTTCTTTTCTCACAGCACCGGCGCAAGACAGCGGCACGCACCTGGGGTCGAGAGAGGACGGGGACAATCGAGTGATAAAGCTGGAGGGGACCCCGGGCCTTGATACGAACGCGACATGGGAGGAGGAGATACCCGAGCAAAATAAGATCACGAAGGACGCGGTGAGAAAGATGATGGAGAGACAGGAGAGGGAGCGACAGGAGGGGAGCCTCGGGGCGGATGAGACGTTGTTCCCAGAGGGGGCGCCCCAGAGACACATAAACTGGCAGAAAGAAGACTACGAGCTGTTTGTGGGACACGGATACGGGGCGAGCGCGATCAGAGTAGGGGAGCTACAGGAGGACCCCCTAACGCGCTTCTTGCTCCGATACGACGAATTTGAGACGGGGGGAGAGCTGACGGACGGCAACGGGAAGCGAATTAAGATGGGAAAAGACAGCGAGCCGCTGCGGTCGGGGAAGGGACGAGCCCTGAACGTGAAAGTAGCGCAGACATGCCTCGCGTTGCACGTCTCACACCAGTTCACACACTTTGCAGCGACGGACGGAGGAAAGGACCATGAAGACAAAATGGCGGAGGATGGAAAGCACGTGCCGAACCCTAGGGTGGCGTACGGCGTGTTCGAAGGACCGACACGATTCGGAAAGAGCGTCCCGGGAGACACACAGGTAAAGGATCCCAACGGAATCGGACCCTGTGAAGAAGGGGAGATACGGACAGCGTTTGGGGCGGGAATGTGGGGAGGAAAGCTGCCGAACATGTGGGAGCCGATAGACGCGGAGATGTACGCGATACTCGCATACTTACGCAAAATGGCGGTAAAAAAAGTCCGTCGGTGGAATATGACAAACTGTGACACATTTCGTTGAGTCAGTGCAGTCACATTTATTTTTTCACCGCCGCACCGGCTTCTTTTTCCTTCGCGGCAACGCGATGGCGGCAAGGCCTCTTTGCGCGCCCGCCTCGTCACGCAGAAGACCAACGGGCGTCGGACCGCGGTGAGACCGCGCCGCCCTCCGCGCCCGCCCGCGCCCGCAGCGTGAACACATACGCGCGTCCCTCGCCGCACGGAAACATACGCGCCAGCCGCGCACACAGCCTCACATGCAGCGCAGACCGCATGCCCGCGCCCTGGGCCGCCGACGACCCGGTCGGGCGGGCTGAGCGGCCGCCGCACACCACCAGGCAGGCGCGCGACCACCCACAGCACGCCGCAGCCCACCGCGCAGCCCTGCCAGCCAAGCCTGCGCCTCCCAGCTGCACAAACAGGGCGCACAACAGAATACAGCACACAGCACACACCGGCGGCGCGCGCGCAGCACACGCAGACGCGCGCGCGACCGCAACACGCACACGTACACAGCACGCGCGCGTCGCACGCCAGCGCAGCGCCACACACAGAGCACACTTCCCATCAGCAGCAGCAGCCTGCCACAATCCACATCTCACACACGCGCGCACACACTCCCGG